GTTATGGGTGTGGAAACCAAATTTCAAATTTCTTAATTTCATACAAGTGATACAGGGCTTGTTAAAGGTCATAGTTGAGAACTTTAATGGGGTACCCTTTTCTTTGTGGCCAACTTCAATGGGGTGCATAGTATGTCTACATCTTTTAATTTATTCTTATATCAAACTCTAAATCACATCTTAAATTTATTGAATAGTAACAAGTGATGCAAATTGCACAACTTTGCAAACTTTTTCAAATTCATCTTTGTCTAAATCTATCAGCTTCCCTTCCGAAGTCCCACCCAATGCAGCAACAGGTGAGTTTTTTTTTTTTTTTTTGGGAATAGTGACATGAAATGCTGACAGAAATAATGGGACAGCTACAGGTGTGGAATCGAAATCAAATTCCAAATTTCTTCAATTCATACAGCTGATGCAGACCCTGTTACGCTCAACTCATTACTTACTGCAAGTTGTTGAGAACTTTGGGTGGGATTTGACATGTCTACATTTTTTAATTTTTTTCTGCCACCAAGCAACCACTCAAAAAAGCAACCTTTATATGTTCCACACCCGGGTAAAGCGGTTCGTTACTTACTCTTTAATGTTCCGCACGCGAGTAAAGTGATTAGTTCTTTTTTCTTTAGTGGAATATTATTTTAAATTTGATGGTTGATTTTTTTATTTTTTTTTTCATAATATATAAAAATATTTGTAAAAATTGCTTTAAATTATTCAAAAAAGCAACCATTATAATTGAAACAGACTCTTTTTTCAGGTTAGGTGTGATTTCTGACAATTTGTTACTTATCTATTGACTAATCAGCACCACGTTAAACAACATTCTATTGACTAGTAATTTTTTTTTTTTTTTTACCAGATAGATGGTTAGGAGGTTAGTAGAGTTAGTTTGTTAGCAGCTGAAATTTTTCCAGGAAAGTGAACCTTCCACCCCCTCATTTGAGGCACGTGACCATTAGGTCGCAAATTGGTGGAGTTCACGGCGGTGGCAGAGCTCGAAGCTCTGACCTCCGCCTCACCCAAACCCTAAAGTTTGAGGCCAACCAATTAGGCCACAGGCCTGGTTTGCCTATTGACTAGTAATTTTTCCGTTTCATGTGTGAACATCTCATATATAAAATTGTAACAAGAGCTTCATTTGCTCCTCCCCTTTTTGACGAAAATGAGCATGTTGCTTGCTGACCAGCTTTCTTCTAGTTTTTTCTTAATTTACAAGTATTGTGCTGTTTAAGTCTAGCGAGTTTGTCTTTATATTCTAAAAAAAAATTTCATACCCTTTTTTATTTTTTTGTTAACTTTATATAATTGCACAGTCTAATTTATAAGAAAGTGATTTCTTTTTTTTCTTTTTTTTTATGTAACAATTTTTGTCATACCATGTTTGACATAGCTTTGGACGCACATGATTCTTTTTGGGCATGATTTTCTGTAACTAAGGAATTAGTTTTTATTTTTTATTTTTTGGTAAATACAACAAAATAATTAATTAGTTGAGATTTAACTAAAAATTATGTTATATTTTGTTTATATAAATCGATGGTTAGAGAAGATAACGATCACTTAGTGCTATAATGACACAATAATTCATCTCAAATTTTCTCTTGTTAGAGAAGATAAAAATTAGTAGTGACACAATATATAAGGATAAAAGCAAATTTCAAATCCCTCTTTATCTAACATTATAATCAAGAATTAAAAAACAATGAGAAAAAAATTATATTCAAGGTTCTATTTTGTCAAAAGGAAAGAGAGAAAAAGATAGGATCTCTTCCCCTTTCTCAATAAGACAAAAGTTGTTAAATAAGGTAGAATTTTGTAATAGAAGTAAAAACATTAATTAACCACATAACTAGTAGAATAAAAACAAGGATTTGTTAGTGGCAATATGGGTAAAAACAATTCATTTCAATTTTTTATGTTGAAAGAAGACAAGGATTAGTTAGTAGCATAATGGGCACAATAAAGCTTGCAATTTGGTATTTATATTAATACTATACTGTAATAAATAAAGGATAGAGTTGGAATTTTTGTCCTACTATTATCTTTTGACAACTTCCATTATAGAAGTTAATAATATGTCAGGCTTACATTTAGAGAACAGATTTGTTGAGATCTATCTTCAATTTCTTTTTATATTCAAGAACTTGCAAATTATCTCGTTTTTGTGAACAAGCCTTGCATTTTAGTTAACCTCAAGATGGTGTCAAAAAACAAATCATCTATATTAACCTTTTTATTATACTATAAAACTCAAGATTAAAATTGATTGAATTTGAACTCAAGAATGAATTTGAATGTTTTGTTTGATGAGTTGAGCTCAAGTACAAATTCTATTATTTTCTAGATGAATCCAATTTGAGCTTGAAAAGTAATGCTCGACAAATTTCTTGAACAAATCATGCTTGAGTCTGATTGTTTATGAGCTTTGCTAGACCAGTTTTTGACAATAAACATTTGTTTAGTTTAAAATTTTGATTTATAAGTTTTTAAAAGTTTTTGGGTTCAACAAATTTATCTTACATTTTAAGGTCCTTGAGACAATTTGTAAACCCATCATCAAATCCTTGGGTTAGTAGGTTTCATAGTCTGTAATTCTATAAAGAAGCACATAATAATGGCTTAATTTTTATTACAACAAGTAACAACTTTGACCACGTTTTGTCTTTCTATGGGAACCACAATAAGACCACCTTGACCAAATTATGTGGTGGAAAAACAATTGTCTTATCATTTTGTCTTGTTTTCTCTCTTTGATTCAAAATGTCCAAAGAGGCCGCACTTCTTTTTATAAAAATATTTTTCTTTTGTATTTCAATTCATCTCCTTTGTTGCCTATGAAGCCTTCACTAAAGATGCAAATGTTGAGGCCTAACAACCAGGGGTAGAATCAGGTTGTATTATTGGTATGGTCTATTAAATTTTTTATATAATATATTTTTTTAATGAGTAAGACTTACATATAAAAAATTTTAAAATTATAAAATTTTTTTTTGTAGATAAGATAGGATCTATGCCTAATCTTTTTTCAAAATGCATCCATCATTCTTAAAACTCCTGTGTACGAGGAAGTTTCCTCTTGTTTTTTAAAAAAAAAATTGTATTATTCGTAAATTATCAAATCTGCACTGGTACTAACTTGGTATTCATACGTAAAAAAATTCACTCCTTTG